GAACGCTTCAAATTTGGCAAATTATGAGAAACACATGTATATAGCAGTTTTTAAATCCTGATAGTGACATCCTGTGAAAGCATGTCAAATATATCCGGTTCATCTGTTATTTTGCTAATTGTTTTTATGTATTTTTAGCATAACAATAAAATGTGCTTGACAAAATATTTGATCTCTGCATATTATTTCATTAGATTTATCATGTAAGATTTCAGCTTGTAGGCTCAGAAAAACGAGTTTATGAGCTATTTTACATTTTAAACCAGATATTTTTAACACATAGATATTGACATTTTGAAGCAATGTTACGGCAACGTGGAATGCATTATCTTACACTTCTTTTATACTTTATACAAAGATCATCAAATATATTAACTCCTTAAACCCGAGTAGACACTGCCAGTGTCCAGTCAAAAATCCCAATTTTCCTGTTGCACGGTAAAAGCATTCAATAACAATTATGTCTCTTTGGCTGAAAACTAATCCAAACTATGTTATTACCCACTATTTATAAATAAACTGGAAATTCTATGAAGCACTATCGTTTGTTTTGAAAAAAAATCAGGTCAACAAGTTGTGTTTGAGGCTACTTTTTAAGTGTTTTCTTGTGAAATCTAACAATTTGTTTACATCATTTGTAAAACAAAGATGGCAAGTGGAAAGAAGCCACCAAAACGTTTTACTGCTGAGCAAGCAATGTGTCTATTCAATCAGTTAGATGAATGAGGAAGTGATGATGATGGGGATTCTGATCTTGAATTTGACTTTGGAAGAGACATTAGTGACGAAAGTGACCCAGAACAGTAATCAAGACCCAGTTTCAATACTTCTCAATTATCTGATCAGAGAAAGCATCTCTCCAACCAAGACCTAGTGATACAAAGAGGTCACGAAAATGAGCCCCAGCTGAACTTTATCCACCTTTACGTCCCCTACCAGAGCCAGAAGTAACAGTTGGGATGAGGTAGATCTACAAGATAGGTCAACCACAAGTAATGACTTTGAATTTTTACCAAAGAACAAGCCTTATCCTGGTGTATACGCTGACACCAATGATAACTCAACACCCTCGACTGTTTGAGAGCTCTGTTTACAAATGAGAGAAGTCATGCTTCGTCACTGATATCAACGAGTACGCTAAAGCAAAAGTTGTAAAGAAAATATCCACTCAGAGACAGTCAAGATATTTGAACTGGACTCCCTTTACCTATTCAGAACTACTGAGGTTTCTTTCAATGACAACACCAATGGGTATCGACAAAGACCTAGGATTTCAGACTAATTCACCACCCACCAGTCTCTCTACACAGCCTTCTATCACAAAATCTTCAATAGGAAGAGGGTTGAGGCTATTTACTCAACAATGCATCATGTGGGTACCCCTGACTGAAGGGAAAAGCAAAATTAAGAATTAAGAAAATTGAAATTTTATAAGATATGGTGACAGTTATTAGAACACCATGAAAATAATCCCAGTAGAATGCACAAAAAATTATGGGTTTAAAGGGTTAATATTTTTCTTTCGGGTAAAAAACCAGTGTTCTATGTTATTACATATCAGATAAAATTTAATAGTTCTTGTTTACTATTACTGCATGACACAAATATAAAACTTGTATATGAATGACATCTTGTCATACAACTTTTATACATTTCAAATTTATGTCCATATTACTACTTGTTCATTTCAGTTCAGTATGTAAGATTGTCAGTGTAGTTTATAAATGAAAAAGCTAGTGTACATTTTTTTTGTATTTTGATGAGTAATCATATTTTACAATAAAATCAGTTTATGCTCACTAATGAGTCAGATTAAACTGTGCCCAACTGACAGCAATTTGTCAAAGTTCAGACACAATTAGTCTACAACTATTCAGACAATATAGCTTATGCTAATCTTAGATTGAAAATTCACAAACAAAAAGTAACGTAATTTTACTCTATTCAAACTAAAGATCAAATGTCAGATAATTATGTGTCTAGCTTAGTCTTTTATGATACATTACACCCTATGAATATCAGTTTCAAATAAGTATGTTTGAACATCTAATACAAGTCTCCATTAATATTTCCTTACATAAAACACGTTTCATCATAGCCCAATATGTATTAAGCAGATATCACTAACATATATATAGGTAAATTCACAGACTTAACAAGTATCACACATACTGAAACATTTATTAACAAAACTTCAAGAATTACATACACTAATATACTAAATATACAAAAATGTAATGCACCTGGAATCCATGACTAATTTGACTAGCCCCGATGTGCTGTAATTTCGAACATTAGCTCTTTTGACCCTTACAATATCATCCTCTGTATCCTTTCACCATAGTCTGATATTCTACCATCAATATATGTATGTAAAATCACAGACTTTACAAGTATTCTATATATTGAAACATTTATTAACAAAACTTCAAGTTAGAAAAAGACGACTTCTTCCAAGATTATCAAAAATAATGTATATCCCATCCTACCTTTGAAGATTTTAAGAACAAACATGCTCTGTAAAATAGCTGTGATAACAATAAAAAAGTTCTTAACAAAATATTGTTAATTTTGTTGCTTTATATTATTTCTTACGATAAAAGATATGGTCTACGAGAAAGTACGTATCTTTTCTTTTACATTTTATAAATCCACTACGTTTTCTTACAATGTTTAACATTATATAATATACTTTATAACCAAAAGAAGTTTTATGTTCATTATACTATAAGTGTAACTTAATTAATAAAGAATATACTATGTATGTCACTGAACTTAACAATTCGTAAAAAAACGAATTTATCTATGATTTAACTTTACAGAACAATACAGAAAGTTTGGCATCTCTTTCTCAAGATATGAGAGTACATAAGAAAGTTATTTTCTGCTTTAAGTTACTACTTTCTGTTTTCGATCTAGAACTCACATATTTGTGATTTAAAACTACTATTGTCTACAAATATAACATAGCAAGATATATACATAGTCACACTTCTTCAGGATGTTATCTTTTTAGACGCATAAATAAATAACAGTATCACCTATCTTAAAATGTGGGTTATCTCTTCAACTTTATCTAAGGAGCAAATTCCATTGAAGAGATGACAGCTCGATAACCTTTGATATTTTGAAATAACACAAACTGAACCATGTATGGATTATAAAATGCTGGATTGCCAAGATTAAATTGACATTCATACAACTCTAGTACACCTCAGTTAGCATACAATTCTTTTATACTTTCTACTCAATTAGACCCATGAACTCAATGCAAAACTTCAGCTATTAGATGGGAAATTATGATCTTAGATCAAATGTTTATGTTTATAGCTAAACATTTATAGTAAACTTGCTAGATGACTTATCAAAGACAAAATGTAGACTTTCATTTTCTTGTGAATCGTCTATCCAGGCATATGGCCATTCTTGAATTGACATTTAATTTCACAAATAGGTACTGCTGGTGTCTATTTTCGCCCGCGAAGAAAAAAAAAAGTTCACGAACCCATGTTCGACGGCAGCCTCAAAGTCTCATGTGAGAAAAATATCTCTTTTGGAATGTAAGATAGTCGATAATCTAATTTTTCTGAGCCTAAAAACTGAAATCTTACATGATAAATCTAATGAAATAATATGCAAAGATCAAACGTTTTATCAAGCTATAATGTTAAAATTGTATAGCCAGATCGTTATGAAATTTATCACTAAATATAACTTATACTTGAAGAAAACAAAATTTATCAACTCAAATATAAATAGTTTTTTGTGGTATCAAATACTTTAAAGTATTTAGAAAAACAAAGTTTCTGTGCTCAAGTGCTTGATCTGCAAGAGTAGAGAATTTTGGAAATTTGATCAAAATATGTATGTGACAACTGATTTACTGTATAAATTTATCAAATGAAAACACCACACAACTAAAGGAACACTCAATAGAGCACATACCTTTGCAACGCAGCTTTGATCATATTCGGCTCTCAAAAAATAGGAAAAAGGGGACGTCGTTACCATCGGACAATTGCAGGACAATGAGGAATAATATTCGACATATGTCCACCAAGATTCATCAAAATATGTTTATTATTGAGTGAGTTATAGAGCAAAAATTATGTGTAAAATCGGTCCCTATATTAACAGATAGTAATTTTTTGGATTTTTGTGACCTTGCTGTGACCTTGACCGTCCAAAAACTAATCACTTCTAAGTTGGGTCATAGTCCGAAAGTGTAATAACTGTCGTCCAAATTCATTCAGTCGTTTTCTAGAAATATTGCTGGCAAACACACACAGATATAAAAACACAACCTTCGCCACCGAAGGCGGAGTTAATTACGTTAATTGAGCGTTTAAGTAGCAGTTGTCTAGGAGACGCATTTTCGAATAAACTGAATATTAGTAGTATTTATACTTTGTTTTTTATATATATAACAGTTCTCATTTTATTTCTTTTAAATATAAGAGATGAATTTATTTTAGAGATTCTTCTAAACTGTTAATTAATTAAAAAGTCAGACGGCGCATAGTGAGCTACTTTCCATGTTTTGATTTTAACATCAGTTTAAACGTAAATTAATTGCATAGACATATGGAGCTCTAGACCAATCTAAAGTTAGGTAGGCTGACTAAATATAAAATAAATGATTATACACCATTTTCGGACGCAGTGGCATTAGCTATAGAAAAATTGTTTATTCGATACTCATGGTTTGAAAATTGAAAAAAAAAAAGGTTAGTTATTACCTTAGAGCATCGAAGTTAACTCTTAACTAGTCTTCTTTATTTTATTTTTTACTATTTGTTTTCAAGTTGAACAAATAAAATATACTTTTCTAGCTTAAAAACAAACACAAATAAAGAACAAATTACTGATTAAATCGCTTCATTTGTGTAATGATTATTGAATACTGATCGTATATCCCAAGTGAAAAACATGCATTACTCTACATGCATGACTTTTGATCAATACGAAACTAAACGTGGTTGTTTTGGAAGAACAATAATATGTCTGGCCGGCTTTATTGGTTAATGACAAAGTCGAAGCTCGCGCAGCTTCCTGTAGTTAAGAAGAGCAAGGGATCATGGGTAGAAAACATTTGCTTCTGGGCCACTCCGTGTAATGTTTGCAGTAAGGAAAAAATGAACGTTGTAGCTACCGTTGAAGTTTCTTGGGTGAAGAGAGAAGAGTCAGAAGAGCTACTTTTGCATAATTATGAAAATACTTCTACTGTTATCTCTCACGAAAGTGGAGCTTTACGAGACATCCGGGTATTTTTACTTTGGGTCTTTGTTTTACTTGGACTTTTAGGAAATAGCTTGATGCTAAATTGGCTTTGGACACATCGAAAACAAAAAACTCGAATGGTTCGACTTTTTGGAAATCTGGCATTAGCCGATGTCTTGGTGACTTTATGCGGAACCCTTCCGCTTCTTGTTTTAGAATATCTCGGTCCTTCTTGGCCTGCAGGTGAAATCCTTTGCAAGCTGTTTCATTTTCTTCTGGGATTCAGTTGTTGTGCTAGTAATTACATGGTAGTCCCCATTGCATTTGACAGGTGTAGAGCAGTGAAACGACCTCTGGCACTTCGTACTAAGGTAGAACTTATAGATATTTATTTATAAATTTCCACTATCCATATATTTAATCATATAATGCTAAATTAATAAAATTATTATTCTAAGTTTTACCCTAGATATAATTAACATTTTGATTTTCAGCATTTTTACAAGTTAATAATGTCATAACATAAGCATGCAAGAAAATATGGTTTAGAAAAGATATGGCTATTATATAATACATAAATGACTAATTGTTATTCACAAATAAATGGTGAAAATTTAAGAAAAATATGTTTTCGATGTTAGATCAAGAAATGCAATTATTTTTAAAAGTCAAATTCTTCTAGAATATCTCCTGTTTTCTTGCAAACATATTATTATTACAAACTTGAAACATTTTAGCTTTATTCTACATGCATTATACAGATATGCTTTTTTAGCTTCATTCTTGCTTTTGTATATTTTTCTTTTTCCATGAAGGACTTGTTAAAGTAGTAAACATCGATTAATCATTAAAGTCTTTTGTATACATATAAATAGTGAAACATTTTAAACGTTAAATATTATATAATGTTTTCTTAAGGATGATGAATTTCAGTAGAAAAAAGTTTTCATTTAACTGTATTTATCACTGAAGGAATGGTTACACAGCGTGATAATTACTCTAGTTTAACACAGCGGATGATTAAACAACTATTAAATTCATTTTGATGTGAGAGCATATGTTATAACGACATAAGTACTTCAGCATATAGTCTGTAGAATATAACATGGGAGAAGTAAATGATTAGCATGAAATGTGGACATGCCACAAAACAATATTTCCTCAGACAAAAATAAGTTGTTTTAAATTCAAATGCTTTTTTCCCTTATGTGCTTAACCAAAATATTCATAATTTAAGTCATTTGATGAACAGAGTCCACGCACCTTTAACACTCACGAAGGATATGATTTATCACTCTCTTCAAAATATAGGCCATTTTCAATATCTCTTATCCTACAATTATAACTAAGGATATTGGGTTATACTATGACGTCGAACTATAATTTGATTCTGTAAAAGTATATACTGGTTTTGTTATATGAAGTTTCGTTTGATATGTATATATATTTACTATTAAAATTTTGATTCTTTGTTCGTTTTGTTGCAAAGCTACACTACACACTATCTGCACTTTGTTCACCTCGTGGAATCAAACCTCGAACTTTAGCATTGTAAGTCCGTAAAATTGCTACTGACTAACATGGGGGACATTATCTTTTTGTTGTTTTTGTTTTATCACAAAGCTACCTAATAGACCATCACTTGGAATCGAAGCCCGTATTTTAGTATGATAAGTGTGAAACCTACTGCGGACTCATAAGGGTAGTTACTATTGGGTATGTTCTCTTATACAAACGTGAACACATTTGCAACTGATATATTTTGTAGGCAAATATAAAGCCTTTAAATGACACTAAAAGACATCTTTTTGAGACGAAAGTTGTAGCGAGACAGTTTAGTTGGTCTTGAGCGTGCAAATCTAGGCAGGTCCAATATGAGCTTTACTCTAACATTCTGTACATATTAGTATCTATACAGTTATAGCATTCAACTGGAAGTTCCAAAGATTTCCATCGCTTATGGGTCAGTAATAAAATTTTTTACACAAAAGTTGCGTAAAGGCAGTCTTAATATCGACAAAACATTAAAGAGGAAACAAAATAAGATGAGATAGAAAAGTCTTTTAAATAACAAAATGTGATGATACAGTTTGGTTGACTGCTGAAATGCCAAAGCTAGCGATTTTTCGCAGGCACGTATTGAGCTTCTATACGGCTATCTTTCCTTTTCTCGGTAATTTTTGTTTTTAATTTTCTGTTAGTCCTTTCGACAATATTCTCTGATTGATGGTGAATCTTTTCAAGCGACTGAACCAGAACCAACACAATAAAAGGATTGTTATTTATTGATATCTCATGTGCTGCAAATAAATTGAGCTTTTTCACTCTAGTGACACCAAATCCAACGTTGTAAACAATATTAACTTTGCTCATTCAGCCATATAGCTAATTCATAAATTATTGCTTTATGATAAATAACACTCAAGAGAAAATGTGGCTGAATTTGAAAGTATGCAATCCAGCTCACAAAAATCTACGCCTCTCACTGTCAAGATTTGGAATTGCGATTCTTTGTAGCTAATATTTCATCCAGAACTAAGTGGAAACATTACCGTTTTGGTCAGCCTGCTTTGTTAATGATAGCTAAGTAATTAGGTAAGCTCAGGTAGATATACGTCACTCACCGGCATAGATAATGAGGTGATGAAGTTTTATGATAAAACATTCCCTCATGATTTTTGTTGGATGAAACGAAGTCATTTGTAAAAATGATTCCTACTTGAAGGTATATTTTTATAAAATCACTTAATTTGCATTATGTTTATTTTCCTGGTAGAAAAGAAGAAAAAACTTCTGGGACTTTACACAAATGAGCTTGATGAAAATTGTATCATTTTCTGACTATAAGCAATATTGAATAAATGTAATTTATCGTTGTCTATAACCATACTTTGTTTATGAAAAATTCTCAGACTTATAGACGATTATACTAAATACTACAATCAACCTTCAAAGAGAAGAAATATGGTAAACTCTTAATTTAGCGTAATTGTTACATGTGAAACATAATATTGTGGTATCTTATATTAACGTTTAGAGAAGCTGCTGACTTTGAGAAAAGTATTGTACATATATCTTGAAAGATGTAATCCATCGCATCAGTAGTTAATGGTCTTTGACACGCTACGTAAATGTTATATCATTTTGGCTATACTATTAATGTGTTGTAATAATGTAGATATATTTTACTCATATACTAAGTACATGTCTATATAATCACAAGAAATAAAAATTCATTACAGTTAGGCTTATAAGTGAATAATCGTTGCAGTACAAGTACTGTTTCTATAATTTTCTGTAGTTATATATATATCATAGCACATTTTGCATGCTGTATGTAATAAAACAAAGTTGCCTTTACGTTGTCACGAAAACGTGCAAACTCACGTCCACTGAAATGAGAACACAATCAGACGCAGACCCTTGTTACACACATACTTGTATATCTGTGTAGCCTTCATACTCGAAAAGAAAGACTGAAATAAATAAAATCTACATATCCTTAATAAACGCCACCTGGGATGTAGTCACATATTGACACTTTATGAAATATCTTTAACCATCTTTGATTTAGTTCCTAATTAATATTCAGTATTTCTGAATATTTTTTTCATTATTAATCCTTTCTTACACACTTAAATGTATATTGAGTATAACATGTCTCTCGTCAGCTTCGTTAAGTGTTGACGGAAAACTAGATTTTGATATGATTTTGATACTCTTTAATTGCTCAAAGCAGATTTCCTCTTTTCCTAAAGCTTCTGTGACATTACTTAATAAAATAAAAAGTGAAATTAGATATACGTGTAAAGGCTCTCTAACAAAATTGTGATACGTATACCACAATTTTTCTACAAGACGTTCTGTGAATAATTACGCATAAACATACAAACAATCTGTTCCTAAAATACGCAAAAGTGAAAATTAAGAGATGTAATGACGTCAGTTTTCGGTTTAGGTATTCTGCAAAAGTGAAAATGTAATGACGTCATTTGTCATCTCTGATTTGGCAGCTATAGATATTTTTCATTAGATCCATATTTGTTTGTCCCTAATTGATCAGTGGCATCTGTTTATGCATTGTTTTCTAGATCAAAGTTACCTGATAGCAATGTTTAACGCTGAACAATGATAATTCTAAAAAGTAGTACAGAGGATTCCCAACCATATAGCTATCATTTTTATGCAAATATATGTAAAATTATTATAATTCTTATTATTAAATTCAACTTTAATATATATATATATATATATATATACATGTGTGTGTGTGTGTGCGTTGTTTAGTTTCATACAAAGAGTTTACGATAATGTTCTTAATGAATTCAAAAACTTTAAATAATTTAGTGCGAATATTTTATTATAGACATATAACATACGAGTTGTTATTCTGGTGTGTTTAAGTTGTTTTGAGCATTTGTTCATCAAAGCACACATAAACATCTGTTTTTGTTTTTTTATAAAAGGGTGTCCTTTTGGTATAATCTTTTTTTTTGGAAACATCTTTGTTCAGATAATTTCTCTGTACTTGATCTACAGTCATGCCTTGTCGCGTCCCAGAAGTTATAGGGCGTCAAATTATTCGACTGTCTAGAAATCATATGAAGCAAACTGACATTGCCCGAACAGTAGGATACTCCCCAGTGCATTGTATCCAGAATCCTGAAACGTCATTGAACTACAGGAAAAGTTAGTTCAGGAAAATCTACTGGTAGATGCCGAAAACTACAACTCGAGATGACCGTATTTTGATCGGGTTAACACGTTAAGGTCGAAAGAAGTCTTGCAACACCTTATTACGGAAATGGCATGAACACATTCATTACAGGGTATCCAGAAGAATAGTGAATATGAGAGTGACCACAGAAGGTTATTTTGCAAAAAGGGCTATCTGCAAACCGAAATTAGCCAGAATTCACCGTCGTCACTGTGTTATTTAGACAAGACAGCATGCCAACTTACAGTTAGGACACTGGTGATATGTCATTTTTTCAGACGAGTCCTATTTCTGGTTTGTTAAAGCTAATGGTAGGATTCGAGTTCGTCGTTTGCTTGGAAAACAGATGACTGTTTTTCCCACAGAATGTGATTTTTGATGGAAAAACTGCTTTTCATATCCCCCAGGAAACATCAATGGAACCTCCTAAGGGCATCAGATGGAGACGATATTTCTGCCATATGCTAGGCCAAGGTTTGTTAATAATTTTATGATCCAGTATGCCAATGCCACTGCCCAGAATGAGGGTATTGTACAATATTATCTCGATCAGGAGAACATTACAAGATTTGCATGACCAGCAAAGTGTCTACATTGTAATCCCATTAAGAACTGTTGAGCAGAACTGAGCTGGAAAATTGCTAACTACAACCC